ACTGATGGTTTAATCTGTGCCTTAATTTAATTATTTAAAAAAGAATTACATGCGATTTATCTTATCAATAAAGGCAACTAATAAGATTTTTTAAATTTACTAATCCATCTCTACATAATTTCCATGAAAATGAACAGATTTAATTCATAGGATTTTTTAAAAGATCTTATCATCAGTTGCAATCAAAATAACTTTAAAAGATTAATAAAGCCCTGCCAGGGGTGGTGGCTCATGCCTGTAATCCTAGCTACTCAAGAGACCGAGGCATGAGAATCACTTCAACGTGGGAGTCAGAAGTTGCTTTTTAAACTCCCAAAGTGCTAGGATTACAGGCATGAACCAACATAAAGATTTTTCTATAAGAAAGGTTTACTCTTTGGGAGGCCGAGTTAGTCAGATCATGAAGTCAAGAGATCGAGACCATCTTGGGCAACATGGTGAAACCCCATCTCTACTAAAAATACAAAAATTAGCTGGATGTGGTGGCACATACCTGTAGTTCCAGCTACTTGGGAGGCTGAGGCAGGAGACTCACTTAAACCCAGGAGGAGGTTGCAGTGAGCTGAGATCACACCACTGAATTCCAGCCTGGCCATAGAGCGAGAGAGACTCTGTCTCAAAAAAGAAAACAAAAAAGAGAGAAAAACAAAGTTTCGCCATCCCAGGCTCCATAAGGGTTCACTCTTCCAATTCCAATTTGCTTCACGATAAAGTTCCGGTGACATTTTCTCTCTCTCTCTCTCTCTGTGTGTTTTCAAAAAAAATTGTTCAAGCAATTCTCCTGCCTAAATCTCTTAAGTAGCTGGAATTACAGGCGCACACCACCATGCCTGGCTAATTTTTGTATTTTTAGTAGAGACAGGGTTTTGCGATGTTGACCAGTGGCTGGTCTCAAACACCTGACCTGAGGTGTTCTGCCTATCTCCGTCTCCCAAAGTGCTGGGATTACAGGCAACAGCTCTGAAGACATTTCTAACAAGAAAATATCTCATAAGCAGGGCATCGTGCTGCATGCCTGCAGTCCTAGCTACTTTGGAGGCTCAGGCCTAGGATTGCTTGAGCCCAGGTGTTCAACGCTGCAGTGAGCTATGATCACACCACTGCACTTCAACGTGAGCAATGCAGCAAAAGAAACTGTCTCAAAAAAAAAAAAAAAAAATGGAAAGGAGGAAAGGGAAGGGAAACAGAAGGGGAGGAAAGGAAAAGGAGGAAAGGGGAAGGAAGGGATGGGGAGGGGAGGGGAAGAGGGGGAGAAGGAGAAAGGAACTCAGAAGTTGAAAAAAAAATATTACCTCGTGAGAAATAGGAAATGGAAAATGGTTCTCTCCATCCAGATGTTTTTATATGGTCAGTGTTTATGATGGTAAGAAACAATTACTTAAACCTTGGAAAGACATTAAGTGTTGGGGGGTGGCAGGGTGGTCTGCCATTTTTCTATGCCAGGCTTCAGCCTTGAGCTCTAGATCTATTGATGTATCTTGACCCTAAGCAGCTCTATGTGAGTGTCTCAACCAGCCTCTCACCTTGGTACATACATGCTAGAGAAATTTGTGCACATCTACACCAGGAAACATGTGCAAGGAAGTTCACAGAAGTAATGTCCTCGATAATCCCAGATAGACACAATATGAAGGTCTATTACAATAAATTGAGTGAGTATACCAATGTTACTGTATATTTAGCAATATAAAATAAAATGATGGTACTGGAATAACATACGAACATGCATGAATCTCAAAAATATTGATTTGGATAAAAAGCATCATTAAAAAAAAGCATCATTAAAAAAAAGCATCAAAATTATAAACGGTTTGTGATTCCATTCATGTGAAGATAAAAATAGGCAAAATGAAATGACTTACTTACACTTTATAGATCCATTCTTAGATGTTTAAGAAAAACCAAAAGCAAACAAACAAAAAACAAAAATAAACATCGATTAAAACAAAATGTACAGCCAGGCTTGGTGTCTCATACCTGTAATTTCACTGACTATGGAGGGTAAGATGGGAGGATTGCTTCCAGCCAGGAGTTTGAGATCAGCCTGGGCAATGTCATGAGATCTTCTTCTCTAAAAACATTTTTTTTTTTTTTTTTTTTGAGATAGTCCTCACTCTGTCTCCCAGGGAGGGGTAAAGAGGTGAGATCTCGGTTCACTGCAACCTCCTCCTCCTGGTTCAAGGGATTTTCCTGCGTCAGCCTCCAAGTGGCTAATAGTAGAAGGCATGTGTCAACACACCTGGTATTCTTAGTATTTTGGTATTTTTAGTAGAGACAGGGTATATCACCATATTGGCCACTCTGCTCTCAAACTACTGAGTCTCAAGTGATCCATCTGCCTTGGCCTCCCAAATTGCTGGGATTACAGATCTGAGACACTGTGCCTGATCTAAAAAAATTTTAAATTAAAAAAAAAATGTATATATATATATATCTTTTGTCATTTTATATATATATATATATATATATATGTATATATATATATGTCATTAGTAATTAACTGGACCTCCTACATATATATGTTAAAACTCTCTTGAGATCTGAATCAGAAACAAGAAATCTCAGTGCCACTACTAACAGTTGTCATTTTAAAAATTTCGTATATCTTTTTCTTATGTGCCGCTTCACCATTTTATTCATATAGATATAAAAGTTCAGAAATTGTAGTCTTTAGCAGGAATTTCAAAAATCGAAAATGGCAATGTTACCTTCCTCATGAAAATCATTTAACCATCTCAATCCAATGTATTCAGTTGAGTATCTAATATGCATATTTTGGATGTAGTTAAGGGCCTTCATCTGCACTTTTCTTTCTTTTTCTTCTTGTAGTTGCAGATTGTATCACTGGACTCGTCTCCGTAGTTTTCTTTGTGTATGTACATTTTGTGTCTCTCCAACATACTAGTTCATCCTCTTTAGGTGAATTTCTTTATCTTTTTATCCTACTCTTCACTTCTGCCTCTCCCTCCATTTTGTCTGGTTTTTTTTCCTCTCTCTCCCTCTGCCACTTTTCCCTTAATACAGTTTAAATTTTCTGTCTCATTCATCTTTTTCCTCTTTCTCTACTGACTAGATATACCATAGAATCAGCTTTGTTTGTTTGTTTTTTTGTCAGACAACTTCGAGTCATTGAACAACTGCTCCATTTTCCATGCTTTTAACATGAGAAGAAGAAGAAGCATTTTTCTCTTTTGGTAACAGCCCACCAAGATAGGTGGGAATTTCTTCTAACGGACTAAATCCAAGCAGACTCTACCTAAATCATCGTTCTGGTTCCATCTCTTACAAGTGATGGGGTTTGGGAGAAGATGCTGCACCTTAGGTGCTCTAATTTGCAGTTACAATCTACAATCTGCAACTTCCCTTTCTGTTAAATGGGGAAAAAAGTAATATTCATGACATAAGGTTTTGTTTTGTTTTCTAAGACGGGGTTTCACCATGTTGGTCAGGCTGGTCTTCAACTCCCGACCTCAGGTGATCCGCCCCCTTTGGCCTCCAAAGTGCTTGGATTACAGGCATGAGCCACCGCGCCAGGCCCTTCTTTTTTTATTATTATTATTATTTTTGGTAGGAGTTTTGCTCTTGTTGCCCAGGCTGGAGTGGAGTGCAATGGCACAATCTCTCCTCAATGCAACCTCTGCGTTGCGGGTTCAAAACATACTTCTGCTTCAGCCTCCCAAGTAACTGGGATTACAGGCATTCACCACCACATCCAACTAATTTTTTATATTTAATAGACGAGTTTCACCATGTTGAACAGGCTGGTCTCGAACTCCTGACTTCACATGATCGACCCGCCTCCGCCTCCCGAAGTGCTGGAATTTCTGGCATGGGTCATTGCACCAGGCCCAAGATTTTTAGGATTAAATAAATACAAAGGGAGCACATTAGCTATTTCTATGAACACTGCTACATTAGCTAAATTGGAAATTTTAAAAAAGTGTTAAACAGGTCTTAAGATTTTCTCATCAAAGAAGTGAGAAAAAAATTATTATGTGAAACAAAGATAAGACACAATAAATTCAGAGTACACTTTTGTTTAGATGCTACCCGATGGAGTGCAATATTTTTTGTGCAGCACCTTCATGCCTGGAGACTTAGGGCCCTGGAAGTGGGAATGGTCGCAAGAGTGGAGACGGGCTGGGGGTTGGGGAGCGAGGGGTGAAGGAGGGAAGGCTTAAGAAGAACAGTCGAATTTAAGAAGGACAGGTAGTGAACAGTTAGCTAGGCAGCGGGCTTTAGCCAAAGATAATAATAAATTGAAAGTAGGGCTGTTTGTTAAATAGCAGGCTGTTTCATTTTTTTCTTTTTTAATTTTTTCACTAGACTGAATATTTATTTCTGAACCTTGCTGTAGGGCTAAACTAGGTGTGACTCGCTTTTCCATTAAAGACTGTGGACATGTTGGCTACGACATTCTTTCCCCTCTTCTTCAAGGATGCCATTATTTCCCGTCTTCTTCAAGCTCTTCAAGAGATGCTGTTTACTTTTTAGTTGTTTTTGCTTCTCTCTGGAGCTTTATTGCCTGCTCTTTATTTCCAAAATGTGTTTGGGCACTCTGTAAAAAAGAAACACTGTTCTCGGGATTGTGTGGGTGATTGCCGGTCCCCTGGCTCGCTTCTCTTCCGGTCTCCCCTGCAGCTGTAGAATCAGGCATCGCTTTTCCAGGAGCTTTTAAAGGGGCCTTACATTTCAGAGAGAGAACTGCGCCACGAGCTTTGCCTCCCTGGTATTTAAAAGCATACAGGATAGCAACTTCTAGTTTTTAAAGTAAATAGAAAACTAATCTGAATTCTTTGCAATAATAGGAACTTGTTATATAAAATGTTAATTAGGTGGCCCGTGCTCGAAAACTGCTCTCAGGATATGACCAATGGGAGAGTAGACCAAAGCTCCTTCATTTGCATGCAGACTTCACGACTAAAGAACGAATCAGAGATAGAGAAACTAAATCTTCATTTACATAAGGTTGACTACAAATACGGAGGATCATGAGCTGTAGGCTTCATTTTGGTTCCTAGCTGCAGAACAGCGACGTTAACATGCCTGAGCCAGCGAAGTCCGCTCCCGCCCCGAAGAAGGGCTCCAAGAAGGCGGTGACCAAGGCGCAGAAGAAGGACGGCAAGAAGCGCAAGCGCAGCCGCAAGGAGAGCTACTCCGTTTACGTGTACAAGGTGCTGAAGCAGGTCCACCCCGACACCGGCATCTCTTCCAAGGCCATGGGCATCATGAACTCCTTCGTCAACGACATCTTCGAGCGCATCGCGGGTGAGGCTTCCCGCCTGGCGCATTACAACAAGCGCTCGACCATCACCTCCAGGGAGATCCAGACGGCCGTGCGCCTGCTGCTGCCCGGGGAGCTGGCCAAGCACGCAGTGTCGGAGGGCACTAAGGCTGTCACCAAGTACACCAGCTCCAAGTAAACGTAGCTCTGCCGACTACGTTAGTTTAGGAAACCCAAAGGCTCTTTTCAGAGCCACTCAACCTTTTCACAATCGGAGCTATGTACGGGCATATGAAGTTACTGCAAACTCTTGCAGCTGAAATAGACATGTTTTGAAACTTAAAAAGGCATTGTGTGGGCTGGTGGCTTCATTAAGCTTTGGTTTCAATACTTTGTGAAGTATCTCTAGATAGCATCTAAGATGTCACAGTAATTTTTGATAGTTTTGCTCTATGAAAAGGTAACTTCGTTTCTCCTATTTAAATCCTTAAAAATATACGGATTTTGTAAAATCAGAGTAGTTGAAGGGATTTCATTCAGTATTTAATTAGAGACTGGTTGCATTCCCTCTGCCAGGCATTGATATACTTCAGTGAGCCAGAAAGAGGAGACTGATATCCTGAGGCTGATATCCTAGTGAAAGAAGAGAGACAATACATTGGGCATGGTGGCTCATGCCTGTAGTTCCAGCACTTTGGGAGGCCGAGAAGAGAGGATCACCTGCGGTCGGTATTTCAAGACCATCCTGACCAACATGGCAAAACCCCGCCTCTATTAAAAATACAAAAATTAGCCGGGTATAGTGGCGCAGGCCTGTAGTCCCACCTATTTGGGAGGCTGAGGCAGAAGAATAGAATCTCTTGAACCCAGGAGGCGTAGGTTGCAGTGAGCCGAGAGCGCACCACTGCACTCCAGCCTGGGAAACAGAGAAGAGACTCGGTCTAAAAAAAAAAAAAAAAAAAAAAAAAAAAAAACACCCAAACTAAATACTGGTAAGTAAGTTTGGAATAAAACCAGCAGAAGTCTAGAGAATAAATAGTTTCAGAGAAGATGTCGAGACTGGCATGCTGGTTCACACCTATAATCCCATCTCTTTGGGAGGCCAAGGCAGGCGGATCACTTGAAGTCCGTTAGGAGTTTGAGACCAGCCTGGGCAACATGGCGAAACCACATCTCTACCAAAAATACAAAAGTTAGCCGGGCGTTGTGGTGCAGTCTTGTAATCCGGAAGCTACTGGGGAGGCTGAGGCAGTAGAATCGTTTGAACCCAGGAAGCACAGGTTGCAGCAAGCAGAGATTGTGCCACTGCACTCTAGCCTGGGCAAGAGAGAGATTCCATCTCAAAAAAGCAAACAAAAAGAATGTGGTGTCCAGGTCTGTTATATAGTAGAACGAGAACAGACAACATGAGTTTTGGATATGGCAAATGGACATCACTGGGAATATGGTTGTGGAGGGCACCCCAGGGACCATCCGTGACAACTTCTGGATGCAGAATAATTCTATTTTTCCTGGGAAAAGCCCATTAAGGGCTGAGCCTCACGTAGTTACATTATGCTGTCAGTTATCTCTTCAGCCATCACTCTTGATGGATCCAGGAATCAGCCCAGCTGAATCAAGCAAATTCATTTTCCTAGGAATTGTGGAAAGGGGAGTAAGAGGACAGGCCTGAGTGTTCAGCAGTACTTTAAGTGTTGTCAGTGATCTTTCAAAACAGTGTTTTATTTTGTTATCTGGAATTCAGCTTTGATGTTTATGTTAAAAAAAAATGTAATACACTTGCAACCTTTTAAAAATTATCTTTTATTTTCTAAGACATCTTGTTGTAGCACATTTTAAAAATACATGTAAGCTTATATTTGTTGAATATGTAAAGCTGTCATATTATTTATCATACATTGTCTCACTCAGTCCTCACAAAAGTATAGTTTCCCACACATTACAGATAAAGGAAGGGTGATTAGTAACTTGCCACAGACCACAAAGACAAAAAATGACAGTACAGTATCACAAAGTATAGACTTTCATGGTTCAAATACCACCTCCTTAAGAAAAAAAAATACCACCTTCTTTTTCTCTGAGCCTCTCTGTCATGAGAAATAAGTATAATAGTATTAGCAATAATAAAAATAGCCAAAATATAGAGTACCACGTTATGAACTTGTAAAAATGCTTAACATAAGTCTGGAACCTGGACTTTGAAAGAAAACAAAAATGCTTAAGAAACATTTTATCTTTCTTCACCCCAAAATCTGTAAACTAAGTAGTAGTACTACTGTGAAGAAACAGAGGCACAAAGTAGGTAATTAACCAAAGATGTTATACATTTCAAGTAAGCATTCTTCTGTACAAGGTTTCCCCAAACCTCAAAATGTGTATTGAAGATGATTCTTCAAGACTTTATAGGTGATCTCCAGTAAATACTTATGCTTAATGACCTCTGCTAAATACATAGGCCTTATCAGATATATTTACCCAGATGGCCAATAAAAGAACAGCGCAGAGTCTCAGGACAAAATTAAGAGGCCTCTCATGTAACAATACCTTGGTAGGAACTAAATCCATTTTCTTAGCTATTCCTCACAGCATCATCAGCCTTTACTGCTTGCCTTCTGTAGTACAGCTTTTGCTAACTTGTTTCTCAGCTAGTTTTTGCTACTTTGTTTCTCTGATAGCCATGCAGAATGTTAACGGCAGTTTGCCATCAGTTTTCTTACGCTAAGAGAAAACAGGCCAAGAGCGGTGGCTCACGCCTGTAATCCTAGAACTTTCGGAGGCCAAAGTGAGGGAATCTCTGAGCTTGAGTTCAAGACCAGCCTGGTAACGTGGTGAAAACCCATCTCCACAAGAAAATACAACTAGCTGGCGTTCGTGTCGCAAGCCGGTTGACGCCAAGTGGCTGAACAAAAAAAAATCGTTTGAACCCGGAAGGCCAAGACTGCAGTGCGACGAGATCGCGCCATTGCACTCCAGCCAGGTCGACAGAGGGAGACGGTCTGAAAATAAAAAAACAGAAAACACTTGGATCATCCTCACTGGCCATTAAGATATGAAACTAAGAGGAAATAAAATAATTGAACTTAAAATACGAAGCTATTAAGGGTGAAAATAATTATAAATTTTTTAAGCAGTGACTACTACTCTTTCTCCTGAGTGGGTAGGTGGCCCTGAAAAGGGCCGTTGGTTTTGCGGTAGAAAACTGTCGCGCTAAACTCAGCCGCCGAAGCCATACAGAGTGCGTCCCTGGCGCTTGAGCGCGTAGACCACGTCCATGGCTGTGACTGTCTTGCGTTTGGCGTGTTCCGTGTAGGTGACAGCATCGCGGATAACATTTTCCAGGAAAACCTTTAGCACTCCGCGAGTCTCCTCATAGATGAGTCCAGAAATACGCTTGACGCCACCGCGGCGAGCCAAGCGCCGGATGGCGGGCTTAGTGATTCCCTGGATATTGTCACGCAATACCTTACGATGACGCTTGGCGCCACCCTTGCCTAGGCCCTTTCCTCCCTTACCGCGACCAGACATGGTGAAAGGCTGCTAAGCTTGTAACACTGTAACTCTCCCAGAGCCACTCAGCAGTATTTATAATAGCGTGACGGACCTGTTTGAAAACCTCAAGAGCAGGGGCGGGAACCACAGGCAGTTCCCGCCCTTCTGAACAATTCTCCCTTGCTCAGACTGAAGGAGACCAGGAGGGACCTGAGGCAACAGTAGAGCCTTATTGGGATTTAATGAATACTCCTAGGTATATACGTGTGTGTATTTGCACACTATACTTGCAGCCATTAACTGAGTCACCAGTTCTTAAAGTTTTGATAAAGATGCTTGACAGTTCTCCCCTACTTTTCCCAGAATATGAAATAGTACACACTGTTGTCCCTTACAAGGTGCTTTCAAAGTATTTTAAGCAAACCGTATCTTTATTATCTGAGATTACTTTTATTGATTTATTAATGCCTAGTTAACCAAGTAGGGCTCTTTGGCATGCAGGCTAGATAGTGCTACTGAGGGAACTAAAAGTATATGAAAGTTGCACATTTAGAGATCTTTAATCATGGACAAATTGTAGCTAGCACTGTATCTATCATTCACCACATTCTATTACGGCGGCAGCAAATTGGCATCATAGAATCCAGGGAAACTATTGAGACAGCGTACTTCACGTACAGGCTGTGGGGTGACCTTGGGCAAGCTATACTAAGTTTCTTTTAAATGTATTTTAACAGGTGAATTGTAAGTATTTTGTAAGTTGAAAAGAGATAATCCTATTAAAATGCTTAGGATCACATCTAGATTCTGAATAAGCAATCACTAAACATTACTTATGCTATGTTACAAAACTGTGGCTGCTCTCAATTCCTATTCTAAGGTTCACCCTTTTAAAGGGATGAGGGAGAGTATCCTAATTTGCTAAAATCTAATTTTGGGATCTCCTCAAAATAAATAAAATACTTAACTCATAATTAATCCCCATAAAAATGTCCAGGTGCTTTGGGTGGAATATTTGCCTTTTCCTTCATGACTTGTAAAAAGAACCAAGTTTATCACAGCTGTTCAATTAGTACATGGTACATCGGAACAAATTGCAGAGTAAGGTTCTAAACCTGGATGCATAGACAGGCTTCAGGGGATCTGGGAATGAGTTTAAAAAAAAAAAAAAAAAAAGTTAATTATTATTCGATTGTGTTCACACTATAACAACATTTAAATTGTGCAACCAATTAACATAAAGACCAAAGCAAAGAAGCCAACAAAAAAAAAAAAAAAAAGTTAATTATTATTTTAAACCATTCTCCAAAGGAAACTTAGCATTTCTCTATTTATGAAATCAGAAAACAAACAGTATAATTGGCAGAACTGGCAGAAAAGTGCTTTTATTAGTATCACATTGCCATTGCCAGTATCTCAAAATGTCATTTAAAAATCTCAATCCTCCTAAACTAGATTAAGTCTTTCATCTGGGTAGATTATTATTTAATGTATTCATTTAAAAAGCACACATGGTTGTGGCTTCTGCCTGTAAATCTTAGCTCTTTGAAAGACCCAGATGTGAGGATCACTTGAGGCCAAGAGTTTGACACCAGCCTGGCCAACATGGCGAAACTCTGTCTCCACTAAAAAGACAAAAATTTGTCAGGCATGGTGGTGCAGGCCTGTAATACCAGCTACTCAGGTGGCTAATTGCTTGAACCTGGGAAGCAGAGGCTGCATTGACCCAAGATAGCACAAATGCATTCGAGCCTGGCCAACAGAGTGAGACTCTGTCTCAAAATCAATAAGCAAATAAAATTAAATATTTAAAAGCACATATGATTTTACCAATTCAGATTTTTTATAATTTGATATTGGCATATTAATATAAATGTTTCACTTTATAATCCTATATATTATCTAATGCATTTAAAACTGCTATTCTGGGTGGAGCGCAGTGGTTCACTCCTGTAATCCCAGCACTTTGAGTCGGAGGTGGGTGGATCACCTGAGGTCAGGAATTTGAGACCAGCCTGGCCCAGGTCCAGGGTCAGATAACCTTTATATAGGATTAAATATACTTCTGGAATTGATTTAGAAGTGTCACAAGATATACAGGAGGTTGTCATGAGGTATAGCCCCTGTCTCTTGAGAAAACAAAATAAGTTATTGCTCTTTCCTCTGTTATGCTGTGTGTGTGAGTTTCTCCTAATTTTGTACTCACTTTGGAAACATTTGCGTGTGTAAATCTTTTAGTGTTTATTCAATAATACATTGTGTTTTATTTATTTATTTATTCAGAGAATGAGTCTCACTCTAACGTCCAGCCTCAAGTGCCGTGGCGTTATCTCTGCTGGCTGCAACCTCCTATTTCCAGATTCAGACAGTTTCCCTGCATCAGCCTCCGAAGTAGCTGGGATTACAAGGGCCTGCTACCATGCGCAGCTAATTTCTGTATTTTTTGTAGAGATTAAGTTTTACCATGTTGGCCAAGCTGGTCTTGAGCTCCTGACCATTAAGTGATCCGTGTACCTCAACTTCCTAGAGTTCTGAGATTACAGGCATGAGCCACCATAACTTACCCTTTTTTCTTTATTTTATATTGATAGAGAAAGGTCATTTTGCTGCTAGAATTGTTTTTTTTCTACAACATGTGTAAAGAACAAAAAGCCCCATAGTGATTTCATTTCTTTGTTTCATCCTAATTAGGAATATGGTGGCTAAATATGAATTCTCTATCTAGATCAAAATTAGTACTAAAATCCTTCTTAGGAGAGGCATAGTATGTATGGGCCACTTAGAGCTAAATGGCAAAAACTTGAACAAGTTACCTATTTCATAATTGCTCTGCATCTTCAGTGGTGTATAAGGCCTCGCCCAGTCATTCAATTTAAAATGAAAATCCATGTCAACAGTATTGCATAGGACATACTGCTGCAGAAAACAAGCATTTGGGCAGTGGCCCTAAAGTCAAAATAAAGAAATGGAAGGTTAAGGATACTTGAGTTCTGTTGTGCTTCCACACAACTCCCTGTATGTATTTCTGCAAGCTTTTTTTACATAAACATTTGTATGCCATTCCTACAATACCAATCTATACCTTCTAGTTATTTGTAAACTACTAGGAAGATTTGAAAGTGGACAAGTATCCAGATAATATGAAACATATTATCATGGAATTTGAAGAAATCCATCTAGGGCCGGGCGTGGTGGCTCATGGCTGTAATCCCAGCACGTTGGGAGACCGAGGCGTGCAGATCACGAGGTAAGGAGTTTGAAACCAACCTTGCCAAGATGGTAAAACTCCATCTCTAGTCTCTATTAAATATAACAAAAATTAGCAGGCCGGGCGCAGTGGCTCACGCCTGTAATCCCAGCACTTTGGGAGGCCGAGGCGGGTGGATCACGAGGTCAAGAGATCGAGACCATCCTGGTCAACATGGTGAAACCCCGTCTCTACTAAAAATACAAAAAAGCAGCTGGGCATCGTGGCGCGTGCCTGTAATCCCAGCTACTCAGGAGGCTGAGGCAGGAGAATTGCCTGAACCCAGGAGGCGGAGGTTGCGGTGAGCCGAGATCGCGCCATTGCACTCCAGCCTGGGTAACAAGAGCGAAACTCCATCTCAAAAAAAAAAAAAAAAAAAAATTAGCTGGGTGTGGTAGCGCTTGCCTGTAATCCCAGCTACTTGGTAGGCTGAGGCAGAAGAATCCCTTGAACCTGGAAGGCGGAGGTTGCAGTGAGCCGAGATTGCGCCACTGCACTTCAGCCTGGGCAATATAGCGAGATTAAGTCAAAAACAAAGAAAGACAGAAAGAAAGAGAAAGAAAGAAAGAAAAAGAAAGAAAGAAACAAAGAAAGAAAAGAGAGAGAAATTGATGTAGGAATGCAAAACAGGGAGAGATCTCATCCAGTTTGAGATACGGGGAATGAAAAATAGAAACATTTCAAAGCATGTCATTGGATTAGTTTGAAGTTTAAAACAGGGTTGGGGAGTGAGAAAAAGGAAGAATAAAAAATGAAAAAAAGATACTCTGAAAGGTAATATAATTAGACCAAAATCACGTGTCTCCAAAGGGCAAAACATGACTCAAGTAAACGTCGTAATATTTGGAATTCCATGCTTCTACTAAACCACACTGCCAGATCATTGATTTAAAGACCATATTAGAAAGTTTGATTGCCATAGTAAGGTTACTCTTAAATTCTAAAGCTGTATGAATCCAGGTTTTTCTTCATGGCTTATAAGAATAGAGAAAAACAGTTTTTAAGTGAAAAAAAAACCATAAAGCTACAAGGAGATGGGGCATGTAAATTTGAAGCTCATATGAAGAATATTTCACCCAGAGCAATGAAGAGGATGCATGACAGCACAGAGAGATGAGAGAAGAAAACGGCCCTTAAGAAGGCTATAAAAATAGGCAGTCCAAAGAAGAAATAGAAGAGTAAGAATTACAACCATGAAAAGGAAAATAAAGAAGGAAAGATGGATTTAAGAAGAATTAGTAACAGATTGGATTTGGCAACAAAAGAAAGCGAATAATTGAAGTGTTACTTCACAAAAGAATAGTGTTATGAATAGAATGTATAGGAATGTCACTTGAAAGGTTGCTTCCTTTATGTGGTTGGATATATTCAGGGTATGATACAGGTGAACAATCAAGCCAACATTCTGCAATCTTAGACAGAAGCTACTTAGATGAGGATGGTTCTACTGAGAGTCTGGTATAGAAGATGAACAAGCAATCATTCTGAAATGCAAGTTTGATCCTTAAGCAAGAGGACAGGCCTGAAAAGGAGAGACTTCAGTTACTTGCATGAAAGTAACTAAAGAACCCATGAAGGCAAATAGGATAGTACCTTAGAAAATTCCTGCAGTTGGAAGGCTAGAAGTCACTTCTTCCTTTGTTGGTGCTCAGGAAAATCAAATATGGTGGGTCAAAGCCATTTTAAGATTAGAAATACATGGGCTCCAGAAACAGTTAATACACACTCAAAGTAAATGTGATTCATATTTAGCTCATTTCTCATCTCATCCCAACCATTTGAACTGATTTTCATTTTTATTGACATTTATTAATTTGTTCATGTCCTAGTTGAATTTGCTACATGAAGTCATTTGTTAATTTTGATGGGATAAAAAAGTGTGAAACCCTCAACTTTTGTGCTTTGCTCTGTCTGTTCCCAGCATGTTTCTCCTTCACAGTCTTAGTAAGACATAGAATTGTACATGCTCCCCAGATCAACAGATGTTCAAGACACTGAGGAGTGGAGAAAAATCAGTTAAATCGCTTTTTGCCATCATTCCATTTTCTTCTCATATCGAACATAAGGTGTACTTCTTTCACTTTAAGCCTATATCATTGTTTAAACAAGAAATGTAGTACTGAATATAAAACATGGCTTTTTAAATTGCTCTCTTAAGACAGTTTTGTGTGTGTGGTCTTTGTGTGTATATTTCTTGATCCTGGTACTTTAATACTTTGCGAAAGTCTATCTTCCTCTGTCCTTAAGCATGACAGACCCCTGAACACAAAGTCCTATGAATACTTCAATAACTAATTTCCCCCAGTAAATTTTTTTTTTTAAACTGCTTTTACTCATAAATGAGTCCGGTTCTGTCTTTTATGCCCTTTCTTGGATCTCTCCTGAGTGCAGCTATGCAAACAGTCCCAATGCCAGGAGAATCACTGATCATTGTATTTCCCATTTTCCCAGGGCATCGTTGAACATTCACTTGAACTCTCCCAAATTAACTAGACTTCCAAATAGTCTTAAGAAGCCATCATAAAACATTTCAGCCCCAACTAATTTTATCAGAGCTGTTGTTCTAAATATCCTTATTGCTGTTGTTGTACAAAAATTTAAAAACAAACAAAAAAAACCCTTCTCATAAAAAAGAGTTTCTGGTTAAATCTCAATGAAAATCAAGCAGTTGTTTCATGGATGAAAAGTCAAAAATCTGTAGGCTATTACATGACAGCAAGCAATTGCAGACACAAATGGAAGAATTTATATTTTAAATTAAAATCAATAAGTTGTCTCTCTGAACTGTGAATTTCTGAAAGTCAGAGCTTTCGATAAAGGCTGAGGCTGCTTTAATAAAAACTAGAAAAAGAAAAATGCAAAGATCATAAAGCCGTAGCCGTCCAGGTTCATTGTAGAATAGAATTGGTGTAATTCCTCCTCAGAAAATTTAAACTATTTTGCTTTTCTGAATTCCAAAAAACACAATTCAGAGACAGGGTTGAGACTACGTTGCTACGAAGCTGAAAGACTGAGCTGGGAACCAATCAGCGCCCAGCTTGTCTGTGTGTGACTTACACGTAATAATTGACACACTTGCAGGCTGATTTTTTTTTAACTGTTAGATATCCAAACCTACAATTATGTCGAAACTTTTTATGCCGTGATTTCTGGTCTATCTCCCAAGTCAACGACTGAAGTAAAGAAAAAGTTTTGCAAGTCCGAAGGTGCCGTGAAGCGCAAGACGTCCAGGCCACCTCTATCTGACCCATCACTATCGACTTAGCTGCCTCCAAGAAGCGCAGAGGATGGTCTGTGGCCTCACTCAAGGTGTTGGCGGCTACAATGTGAAGAGCGGCCGCATTAAACCCGGCCTTGCCTGGCACGATGGCCTACACATGTAATCCCAGCATTTTGGGAGGCCAAGGCTGGAGGATCACTTAAGCTGAGGAATTGTTTTTAGCGGTGTTGTTTTTCATGTTGTTGGAGTCTAGCTCTGCTGCCCTGGTTCGAGTGGAGTGGCACGACTTCAGTTCACTGCAACCTCCGTCTCCCGGGTTCGAGCCCTTCTCCTGCCTTAGCATTCCGAGCAGCTGGGACTACAGATGCGTGCCACCACACCCGGCTAATTTTTGTATTTTTAGAACAGAGGAAGTTTCAGTGTCTTGGGCACGCCGGTCTGGAACTCTTGACCTTACGTGATCCACCCGCCTATGCATCCCAAAGTGCTGGAATTACAGGCGTGAGCCACCGCGCACGGCCAAGCTGACAAGTCAGAGACCAGCGTGGATAGCAGTGAGCGACCCCATCCCTAAAAATAAAATTTAAAATTATTTGAATAAAGGTGGGCCTTGAAAACGAACAAGGGTAGCTTCGTGCTAAGAACAGCGCCTCGGGTTCGTTCCAGCTAAACAAGGCGCTCTATGAGAAAACTAAAACCAAGGCAAAAAGAGCAGCTGCAGTCATGCCCAAGACAGCTGTCCCGGCAGCCGAGAGGCCCAAGAAAGTGTGTGGCACCCTTAACGCAGAGTGTTAAGCAGACCCCCAAAGAAGGCTTTTGCGGGTGGAGGCTGCTGGAGAAAAAGGTTTAAGTTGATCGAAGATGGCCAAGAATCTTACTAAATCAAAAGTTCCCAAGCATAAGACATCCGAGCGTGAGAAAGCAGCCACCCAAAACAGAGTAATTAAAACTAGAGTAGCTTAAAGACTATTTTAGGAGCTGCCCAATTATTATAGAGCATTTTACACCAATTCCGTGAGGGGAGGGGAAACGGATAGAATGCCTGCTTACCTCAGATTCCAGTTTACCGACAGCAGCAGTACACAGCATCTTTTATAGAAAAGGTTGTTGGCTCTGAAAAGAGCCTTTGGGTTTTTGTTATCACACATTCACAAGACAATTTATGCCCTCTCCCCACGAATGCGGCGAGCGAGCTGGATGTCCTTGGGCATGATAGTCACTCGCTTTGCATGGATGGCGCACAGGTTTGTGTCCTCAAAGAGCCCCACCAGGTAGGCCTCGCAGGCCTCCTGCAGCGCCATCACAGCTGAGCTCTGGAAACGCAGGTCGGTCTTGAAATCCTGCGCGATTTCACGGACCAGACGCTGGAATGGCAGCTTGCGAATCAGCAGCTCGGTGGACTTCTGGTAGCGGCGGATCTCGCGGAGGGCCACGGTGCCGGGCCGGTAGCGGTGCGGCTTCTTCACCCCGCCGGTGGCCGGAGCGCTCTTGCGAGCAGCCTTGGTGGCCAGCTGCTTGCGAGGCGCCTTCCCACCAGTGGACTTGCGAGCTGTCTGCTTGGTACGAGCCATTGCGAACTTCTGAACCCGCCTAAATGAAGAAAAAACGAAAGCCTAGCCTTTTGTACCCATATATATAAAGACAGTCCTGTTCTGATTGGACAAATTGGACAAGGCAGTCTTTCCTCTTAGGCTCGATTGGTGGAGACTCCCACTCCCGAACAGAACATCCCGTGCCTATAGACCAACTATAAACTATTCCTCCGTCCGTTCCCTTTAATTGCTGGTGTTTTCAACCCTTTCCTCTCTGTGCCACCTTTATCACGTTTATTTAAGACGTACCTTGATTTTCCTCCGCAAAATTTTATCTAGCTACTGGGATGACGTATCTTGACAATTTTTTTTAAATGTTGGCGCCTGAAACTGGCTTTTTTGATCAATGTTTTGAAAAGACGCGCGCTGGTTGTGATTGGCCAAGTGATTTCTTTTTAACCCTCTTAAGTTTAGAAAGGCTAATTTCATGTTTCCATTTGTCTATTTAAACTTGGAGTGTGCAGACGTTTTACAATAATTTATTTCAAATGCACCAAGACTGTTAACTCAGAAGTAACAATTTTTAAACCTGATGTTAAGCTACAGAACCAGATTTCACTAAAATATGACATTCTTCTACGAAAGCACTCTTTCACAGGTTCAGTTGGTATTTGTGTAGTCTGCGTTTAAAAAAAAAAAAAAAAAGTCAAATTTATAACTGGCACGAAAAGGTCAGTGTGAGCTTTTAGTCATGCTGAACACTGCAAAGAAGCTCCAGTTAAGGACCATCTGACTCCAGGGGATGTAGGTTTGTATTATTATTTATAATCAGTTAGCTGAGTTGAACCTGGCATACAAAAGGCAAAAACAGACCCTAAAAATCGCAACATACTGCATATGACTTTGTCTCATTAAGAATATTTCTGTTGTTTTAAGTCACTAGAAGGGTTTCGCCTCGTTGCTCAGATTAATCTCAAACTACTGACCTCGTGATTAGCACGCCTAGGGCTCCCAAAGTGCTGGGGCTGGAGCCACAGCGCCTGGCCAGTATTTTTAAGCATTTTAATGTCAACTTTAAAAAGGATTGTTAATTTCATGGCTGACAGTGTAAGGACACCAACATACGTAGGGGAAAAAATTACTAAAAAAAACAGTAAGGCACTTAACAGAACATGTGAGCCCTTTTAATGAATACATGGGTGGCTCTGAAAAGAGCCTTTGGTTAAGATTGCTTCCGAAAAGATCCAATAGGCGTTCTCGTTTTACTTGCCCTTTGCCTTGTGGTGGCTCTCGGTCTTCTTGGGCAGCAGCACGGCCTGGATGTTGGGCAGGACGCCGCCCTGCGCGATGGTGACCTTGCCCAGCAGCTTGTTGAGCTCCTCGTCGTTGCGGATGGCCAGCTGCAGGTGGCGCGGGATGATGCGGGTCTTCTTGTTGTCGCGGGCCGCGTTGCCCGCCAGCTCCAGGATCTCGGCGGTCAGGTACTCCAGCACCGCCGCCAGGTAGACCGGCGCGCCGGCCCCGACCCGCTCAGAGTAGTTGCCCTTGCGGAGCAGGCGGTGCACGCGGCCTACGGGGAACTGGAGACCGGCACGAGATGAGCGAGTCTTAGCCTTAGCTCGAGCCTTTCCACCTTGCTTTCCACGTCCAGACATTTTGATACCTTCGCAAAGATTTTTCAATAGTGAAAAGAAAAATGTAAAATAGAGTTTTGTTAGCAAGTGAGAAACTATTATACTTGTAGGTCGCATTGCAAATAATACTGTTTTATTGGCTAAAACAATCAACCAATTGCAAAGCACCATGAGGAACACCTAATTTGCATATCACAGCGTATCCAGAGACAATTTAGCCAATCACTGTCTACGTTTTTAAATGCCAATTTTGCATATGAGCTCTACAAATATTACCAGCAGTAGAGGACACTTGTCATTTCTTTTTAGGTAATCTACGAAGTGTGTGTCTATCATGCCTGACCCTGCCAAGTCCGCTCCCGCCCCGAAGAAGGGCTCCAAGAAGGCGGTGACTAAAGCGCAGAAGAAGGACGGCAAGAAGCGCAAGCGCAGCCGCAAGGAGAGCTACTCCGTGTACGTGTACAAGGTGCTGAAGCAGGTCCACCCCGACACCGGCATCTCCTCCAAGGCCATGGGCATCATGAACTCCTTCGTCAACGACATCTTCGAGCGCATCGCGGGCGAGGCTTCCCGCCTGGCGCATTACAACAAGCGCTCGACCATCACCTCCAGGGAGATCCAGACGGCCGTGCGCCTGCTGCTGCCCGGGGAGCTGGCCAAGCACGCCGTGTCGGAGGGCACCAAGGCCGTCACCAAGTATACCAGTTCTAAGTAATTTTAACGTCATACGCAATCCCAAAGGCTCTTTTAAGAGCCACCCACTTTTTCAGCTATAGAGTTGTAATTACCTGCATAGTTTCTGTCTTTACCAAAAGGTTTGCTTTTATCCTTTTTTGTGTTTTGCAGGTGTGTGACTGGATTGACTGATTGAATGCAAAATACTGTGGTTAATTGTAGGTTAGTGGTACACCACGCCCAGCTAATTTGATCCCAAGTGCTGAATACAAGGTTAGCCCATTGTGCTGATATGGACATTTTTCTTATTTTGTGTTGTGATGTGTCCCTTGTCAAATTAGTTTTATAAGAAGTGGAAAGAACTTTGGTAATTAGGTAATGATTCTTTTGCTATTGTGTGAGGGAAAAAAGTATTCCAGTTTAGTCATTACAGCACTGGTGCATTTACCTGCTTAAAACAAATTCTTCAAAATATAAGAAAACCAAGACAAGTAATGTTCATGAAAATTGAAAACTATGAACACTGGTACCTGGATGCAATACTAACAATAATAATTATTCTTGTTTTATTTTGGCCACTGGCAAAGTGCCATTTGGGAGTAATGATTGGATGTCCAGGAAATAAACACCTCTAACCTAAAATATTTTCTTGCTACTTTTTAAAGTTTGTGACATTTTGTCCTTCAGGGTGGACACCCTGTGTTCCTTTTTATTCTGATTGGCAAAAGTTTTAATTTTTAAATGAAAAATACTTTGGCACTCTAGTTACAAACACCACAAATTTTCTATTGTATGTAATCTTATAATGATACTGAAGTTTTACTGTATTTCTTGTAATTACAGACCTTAAGATCATAAATTTACGAATGGCATCTGTTATAGAATAAATAGAATTTTTACAAAATTTTTGTATTTTAAGAATACTAAAAATATTTTCTAAAAAATATTCTTAGAATTTCAACCCAGTTAAGAAAAAAGTATTTATTCTATATTATTGCTTTCTTTTTTTTTTTTTTTTGAGAATGAGTTTTGCTATTGTTGCCAAGGCTGGAGTGAAATGGCACCATCTTGGCTCACTTCAACTTCTGCCTTCTGTGTTCAAGCGATTTTTCTGTCTCAGCCTCCCCACTAGCTGAGACTGCAAGCCTACCACCACGCCCAGCTAATTTTTATATTTTCAGTAGAGACGAGGTTTCTCTTTGTTGGCCAGGCTAGTCTCCAACTCCTGACCTCAGGCTAGTCTCCAACTCCTGACCTCAGATGATCCAACACCCTCAGACTCCCAAAGTGATGAGATTAATTGTGTAAGCCACTGCGCCTGGTCCATAATTTTTTCAACTTCCCACTCCCTAACCAGCACATAAATGAATACAGAACACAGTACATATAGAGCATATATGAACATTCAAATAAACAAAACCCAAATGAAAACAATGAAAGCAGCAAGAAAAACCTAGAAAAACAAAAACTGAAAATACTAAATAGCTTCATGTGCAAATTGCAATTGGTATAGCACCCAATTTTTGCTTTCTGTCATTCCAGAAGTAAATATCTAAACTAAGGTCTATGTCAGCTTTAAGGGAATACAACATCTTTCTGAAATCATATGCAAAAATGTGGCCATATGTGTTTCCCCTTCCCAGAACATAAATTACATACCTTTCTATCAGATTCTAAAAATATTGTGACATACTGCATTAAGCAGAATAATGCTACCCCGGTGATGTTCACATCCTAATCCCTGGAATCTGAAAATTCCTGGAGTCTTTGTTAGGTTCTGTGACAAAGGGCAACTAAGGTTTAGGTGGAATTAAGGCCACTAATTGGCTGACCTCAAAGTAAGGAGATTATCATGGATGTTACAAATGAACTCAATATAATCACAAAGATTCTTACAAGTAGAAGAAGGAATTGGAATAGAGAACTGGAGATATGGCAGCACGAGAAACATTTGGCCATAGATTGCTGGCTTTGAAAATGCAAGAAAAGGACCATGATCTATGGTGTAGAAAGACAAAGTGCTGGGATTACAGGCGTGAGCCACCGCGCCTGGCCTACCAGCTTTCTTTAGCTCTTTAGTTAATATAAGCTAACGCCTTGATTCTTTTACTCAGTAATATCTGTGACTGAGTCCCAATTTACAAAACAATATAATTATACATTTATATCTTTTAATCATAAAATGTGATGTTTTCAAGCCAGCAATAGGAAACCAATATACCCATACAAATTTAAGAACTTAGTTATATATTAACTAATGTTCTATTAAATTATAATTTTATATATTTAAAAACAAATGTGTAAATATTATTAAAATTATTATAGAAGCATGTAAATGTTTCCTAAATATCACAGGCTCACCGCATTTTGATATTGCTGTGATTTTAACAGCAGCAGTTTACACTTCGTTTTTGTTTAGTTTCTCCATGTTTGATTTGGTTTTCACAGTCGAAATCCTAAGGTCTTGGAGCACCGCATTCTCCGCTCATTTGTAGTAGTATTATTACTTCTGATTATAATACATAATACTTCAGAAGGCTTGCCAGTTATGTTATAAATATGAGATTGATGAAAAAACTACAATGTATAGAAATAACTCGAAAAAATACTCTAAAATGTTTATTTTTATTGTAATTATTGCATTTGTTTTCACAAAATGGCAATAAAGTTAATGTTAGTAATGTTATCACTTTAAAGGGAAGGAACAAAGAATGTGAAAAACAGTTTATTTATATATCAGAATTCAAATTCCAACCACAATTTATTTCCAACCATAATTTTTTGATGCTATCTATGCTCTTTCACATATGTCTTAATAAACTTAGTTGTACATTTTGAAATAACTAAAAGAGTGTAACTGGATTGTTTGTAACACAAAGCATGAATGTGTGAGGGAATGGATACCCCATTTCCCATGATGTGATTATTTCATATTGCATGCCTGTATCAAAATACCTCATGTACTACATAAATACGTAACACCTACTATACAGCCACAAAAATTAAATATTAAAAAAAAGTTTTTTTAAGATGTCTAAATGGGGCCGGGGATGGTGGCTCACTCCTATAATCCCAGCATGTTGAGAGGCCAAGGGTGGTAGATTACTTGAGGCCAAGTGTTCAAGACCAATCAGGCCAACATAGCCAAACCCCATCTGTAATAAAAATACAAAAAATATGTGGCAGGTGTGGTGGTATGTGCTTGTAGTCCCAGCTACTTGGCAGACTGAGGTAAGAGCATCTCTTGGGCCTGGGAGGTTGCAGTGAGGTGACATCATGCCACTGTACTCTAGCCTGGGTGACAGAAGGAGACTGTCTCAAAAAATTAAAAACAAAATGCCTTGGTAGAATTTTTAAAAATCACTACTACAGATTTCTGAGAACTTTTACACAGATTACCTCCTTTCCTAGGCACGAGGATACATCCCTTTTCCTGGTGGATTCCTTATTCATTTTTAAGTGTCCTGAGTCAGTCAAAAAGTGCAGCTTACTTCAGCTAGGAGAAGAAAAGAAAGCCTATAAGGTGCAGTCAAATATACCTCACTTCAGCATCTCTCAATTTTTTATACGCATTTATTCCATGTGGGATAGTGATATCACAAGTATAGTATTACAGACAGTGATAAACCCTCCCCAGACTGTTAGTTTTTTGTGGTCAGGGAAAATGTTTTGTATGATTATCAAAGTCCCTGATGATAAAGAGGAAGCTCAGTTAGATAATAAATTAAAATGTAAAGTTGAAAATGCCCTTTAAATTAAAGGATGCTCAGTGCCACATATCAGTAAATATCCAGTCAAGACGACAAAAACAATTGTATCATTTTTATAAAGATAAGTTAATAAAAGCTACACAGGTACAGAAAGACTGAAAAACAAAAGCATATACCGTGTATTCTAGAGATAACTAACAGAATCAGGAGACAAATGAAGGAGGTGGCACAAAGAAAATGTGGTACTATTACAACCTAGAAGTTTGGAGGGCAGGCATGGGGAGATGGGGCTCAGAACTCTGTGAGATCAGGGTGAGGAGTGGGGCAATGAAGAGGATTCTGGGAGCGTAGGGGGAAAAATTGGGAACTGGAACAAATTGCTGATGCCACTGTAAAAGTCCGTCGCCAGAATAATACTGACAGGAACAGAGTTCTGTAACCTCTTTCCTTTTAGCACCTCCCATGTTCCCAATTTTCCTAGCTAAATGGCATCCAGATGGCCAAAAAGAAAACTTAGTAAATAAATGTGTGAAGGGGAAGTTTTCCTTTTGCTCTCTAAAGATTTGCTGAAAATCACTGACTACAGGCACATTATTTGCAATAAGGGCTAACAAACTAACTAACATGTACACAGAAGCCTTGATTGAAGACCCAAAGATACAGATGAAATCATGCATTTTTATTCTTAGGTTCAACGATATATGGACAGCTGTGTAGAAATATGATTGGACACAAAGAGTATGAGCTAATGCTAGATTAAGTGGAGAAACCCAACAAGGTCTGTCTGTCTAGATTCCTGGGCTTTGGAGGCAGCAGGCAGCATTCTCTCCCCATGTGCTTGGGATAGGACCCTCTCTGGAAACACCGTCTTATGACTTACAGTCAACCGAGGTAGGCCAGATAACTTCTTTATGGCCAGTTTATACACACACACAAAAAAAAAAACAGAAGGAAAATTGGAGTCATTATGTTTTATGTTTGCTTAGCTACCGGACTGGGGCGCCCTATTTTTTATGTTTTATGGCTAGCTTTGGGACTAACTTTGGTATACATGTTCCATCTGGGGGAGGAAGGAATCCAGTTCCTACAGCTAGCTTCTGGGCAGAATGGGAGGGTGAGACAGGAAGGTGGAAGAAGGAGAAAAAATTACTGCTGAGGCCTTCATTTTGTATTACTGTTTTCTGAGTCCCAACACCACTTTTTCTTCTAAAAGCCTGTGGGCACTCACCTGTTTAATGCCCAGGACTACTACACATTGCCAATTCTGTTGTGATAAAGGCTGCTATCAGCACCAAGGAGAAAAGTAGGAATAGAGAAGCAAACAACACAACAATGAATTACTATTTTTTGTTTTTGTTTTTTCTTTGTCTTGTTTTGTTTTTCTGAGAGAGAGCCTTGCTCTGTTGCCCAGGCTGCAGTGCAGTGGTGCGGTCTTATCTGACTGCAACCTCTGTCTCCCTGGTTCATGCTATTCTCCTACCTCAGCCTCCTGAGGAGCCAGGATTACTATTTTTTTTTTTTTTTTGTATTTTTAGGATAGACGGTTTTTCATTTTGGCCAGAGGTCTCGAACTCCTGACCTCATGATCCGCCCACCCTGACCTCCCAGAGTGCTGAGATTACAGGAGAGAGTCACCGGGCCCAGCCAAGTTACTGTGTTTACATTTGCGAGTTAGCTACATATTTAAATAAGAATTATAAATTCTAATAAACACTGAAGGTAGAAAAAAAAAGCCAGAAATGGAACACAGGCCTCCACAGCGAGAACCAGAATTCCTCAATCAAATCACTAATATCCACGCTTTTCTGTTTGGGAAGAAAACCATTTTGGTCAGATTTTTCTTGGCTTGATGGTGAAGAGGGTGAGGTCTTGTAGTTTTCAAACACTTCCTAAGGGGGCTCCGGTCACCAAGAGAGCAAGCAGTAGAAATGTGACGGGGCGTGGGGTGACAAAGCTTAACACAAGGAAGATTGCTGCAGTTCCACTTGTGACAGCCGACTCCGATTCAAACGTCCTAGAGGATCCCAAGCAGCAAATGATATTAACTTATACACGTTAATGTATTTAATCTCAGTTGTTAAAACAGCCCTAAATTTTCTCTTTGGGGATGCAAGAATCGTACAGACGCCTTCACGGAGTGCTGACCAGGACTGTAGCCGTTGGTGACGTTATGCGGGTCTGGGCTGGAGGGGTGGGGCCAGCAGGCGGTACCAAAGTTCCCGTATGCGCGTATTCAGTTTCCAATCAGGTCCGCATTCCGGGCATATAAGGGTACCGCCTTCGCGTGTCTTTCAGCTTTTTCAAATTTCTTTTCTCGTTGTCGCAGTCATGTCTGGTCGTGGCAAAGGAGGAAAAGGTCTAGGTAAAGGCGGCGCAAAGCGTCACCGTAAGGTCCTGCGAGACAACATCCAGGGCATTACCAAGCCAGCCATCCGGCGCCTTGCTCGTCGTGGCGGCGTCAAACGCATTTCTGGCCTCATCTATGAGGAGACTCGCGGCGTTCTGAAGGTGTTTCTGGAGAACGTGATCCGTGACGCGGTCACTTACACGGAGCACGCTAAGCGCAAGACCGTGACTGCGATGGACGTGGTCTACGCTCTGAAGCGGCAGGGACGCACTCTGTACGGCTTCGGCGGCTGAGGCTCCCAGTCCGACGCCTCAACATCGCGACTTCCCAAACCAAAGGCCCTTTTCAGGGCCGCCCACACCTTTCCGTAAAAGAGCTAGTGACTTCTCCAACTCCAATAATCGCTTGTTCTTATGTTGCTGTTAAACAGGTACGTGTGCGTTTGCTGCTTGTTCGTTTTTCTGTGTGTGTGTCCCAGAACAGATTTAAAGTTACAGTACAGGATTTTTTGGGCTACGATCTATCATGATTGCAGTTGTTTTGTTAGCTATAGCTTTTCGCGAGATGCTAATGCCTTAGTTGCAATGAAGAGAACTAGAGGAGCAGTGTCTCAAATCTGATTCCCTTATCGCATTTAAGTAGTTAACTACAGGGTTCTCCACAGAGGAAGTTGGCAAACTTAGACTAGTCGCCCAAAATGGCGGACAGCGAGGAACAAAGCCGCGCTTGGCAATGCGCCCGGACTCGCGAATTATCGCAACGAATTGTTTTGGTGAGGAGCGCAGCCCTTAAGTACTTAATTTAACGACCAAGTTTCTGGTGTGTAGAAGCCTCTGGGGCAAATAAGGTCTCGTGAGGAGACTTTGCAAGTATGTATTTGGTCTACTGAATTGAAGCCAGCCCAATTGTCCCTTATTAGTTCTAATGTCTACCGTTTATTCAATAAACATCTGACCCTCTTTAAACTGTACAGTTTGAAATTTAACATTTCTCATGAGCCAAATAATAAGTTTAGGAACTCGTACTTGCCTCAGGCAAGGAACTGAAACTCAGCAGATCGCTGCATGATTGCTTCCTTATGCTCCCCTGATTCCTGTTTTCTCGCTCTTCCCTTGACATAAACAACCCAATTTTGGTCCGGCAGACGGATTTGTAATTTCCTCTTGTAAGCGGCAGCAAGGGGTTAATAAAGCCTTACTTCCTGTAAAGTAATTGACATTATCTGGAGCGCAGCGGGACCTAGACTGAACCCCGGAGGTAACGAGAACATTTAAAAAGTGGGTAGGATGTTATTTTAGTGAACAACAGTATAGAATCAAATTAACAATAGCAAAGATAGTTTTTATAGTATACATACAGCCATCAGGACGCTATACCCCAAATTACTACGTCTAGAGTACTTAAAACTCCCACATAATCGAGTCGCATGGCTAGCAGAAAAAAATGGATTGGTTATCCTAGTGTTATTAATTACCACATGGTTTTTTTCCTGTAAGCAGAAACCAACTGCTAGAAAGCGTTGTAGAAACAACTATAGTTAAAATTTTTTACAACGGATTCTGATTGATCAGTCAAAAACCCCTTTCCCCTGCTTTGCACTCCTGCCACAACTGCAATTACAGAGCCAGTTTTATTGGTATTCGTCATTGGTAAGTGGACATAGACCCCCAGCCAGCTTCAACCAGCTTGTAGAGACTGCGCAAATTGTCTTTGTGCCCTACAGTTCACCTTTTGACACCGAGCTGAATTCCACCTCATTTTAATGCTAAAAATTCTCCCCATAGTTAACATGAAATGTATGTCACATGTTTTCCCAAAGTACAACTGCCTGAGTTTCCTCATGAATATTCATAGAATTTTCCCAACCCTACTCAACTTGCATGTAAGATTGACTCTGTAAGGCATATGTATATTCCAGCACCCCTTCACTGCCACAGAGTGCTCACCCCATCCTGGGATAGCTTCTCCCCCTGGAAAATAAAGGCTTTATTACTTCCTACTTGATCTCATGGTCTTTTGTTCACAAAAGACATGTGCTCAAAACATCCCAGTTATGCTCTAAATGTCTTAGAGATCCGGTTTGTTCATAGAAGGATCCAGCCATAACTAATTGTGTCTCCATTTTTCTTATATAAAACAGGCTTCTCTCCCCTACTTTACCATTTTTGGACATTGATTTGTTGGAGACCAGACTTACAGAATGGTTGTGGGTTTTTGTTTGTTTGTTTTGTATTGGCTTGATTCTTAATCATTTTACTTGGCTTTTCTACTCTCCATGTCCTGTTAAGTACAAGTGACTTCTAGACTTCCATACATTTAACTGAAATCAAGTTAATATGCCTGTCAGGTACAGTTTATAGATTTAATCTACAAACTACTGCACTAAAAGGCACATGATATCTGGTTCATGTAAATTCAAGGGATAGAAAAATCACTGGTTTAGGCTGGGCACAGTGGCTCATGCCTCTAATCCCACCACTTTGGGAGGCAGAAGAGGGCTGATCACCTGAGGTAAGTAGTTCAATAGTAGCCTGGCCAACACGGTGAAAACCTGACTCTACTAAAAATACAAAAATTAGCTGGGCGCAGTGGCCAGCACATGTAATAGCAGCTACTGGGGAGGCTGAGGCAGGAGAATCACTTGAACTGGGGAGGCAGAGGTTGTGAGCCAAGGTGGCACCACTGCACTCTGGCCTGGGCAATAGAGAAACACTGCCAAAAAAAAAAAATAGAAATCGCTGGTTTACAGTGATAGTTCCATTGAAAATCAGATTTTTCTTCTAGCCAGCAACTAATCTTTAGGGTGATACTTTGATATCAGGAAAATCAATGGAGGTATTTTAAATGTCATTTCTAAAAAGTGTGAACTTGTGTATGAAAACAATGATGTTATTGGAGCTAAGGCAGCGGTTTGAGCAGAAAAACATGAGGATGTTAATTTAACAACAGCAACAAAAACAAGCACATAGCATGTGCCACGCATTGTTCCGTGCTCTGGGAATTAGATCAGTGAATGACAAAAGATAAAACAATATGTCTATGTTCATTGAATTTATATTTATTGGATGTGGGTACACAAAATAAGGCATAATCTGTCAGAGTGCTATCTATTATGAAGATTACTGAAGCAGGAAAAGTCATTGCATGTGGTGGGGAGAGGTGATATTTTAATGATATGTTTTTGGAAAATTTTATTCATAAAGTGATAGAGAAACAAATACACTGAGAAAGTGAGAGTATTCCAAATAGAAGACCAAGTAGGAAAGATTGGGAGGTAACAAGCAGGTATTGTGGCTGGAAAAAGGGAGAGAGGTGAGACACACAAGGGAAGGCAGGATAAGGGACCCCTCCACACTTCTTTACATGCTGTGCTGACTGCAGTGGCACTCAGCTCCATAACCTGGCAACCACTGAAGCTTCCACTGATAAAACCAACCAATCAGACATAAAAGAAATAGAACACTCTAATCACAAACATCCTGGCCATCAGCATATGGACTTCCCAAAAGACCTTCCCCAAATGAACATTCACTATAGGATCTTAGATTATCCTAACCTAACTTTTGCTTCATGTTAATGTTAAAAATCACACCCCTGGGTGGAGGTTTAAGATGTCAATGAGACCTGAGACACAGGAAGAAGCATGACAAGGGACTGCAAAGATGCAACCAACAGACCACCCCAAACATGCCGTGATGTCACCTGGAGGAAGCCCAGAGAATAACAACCTAGACTTGCCTCCTTTCCAGGAGCCAGCTTCTAGTTTTCTTCTGGTTGCTATCTTCTTTTCTGCTCAAGCTGAAAACCGTAATCAACTGCCTTGCTCAAATCCATCTTATATTATTGGTCGATTTCTATTATCTGAGGGTCAAGAACCCACTGCCAGTATCGGACAGTGTGCAAAGGAAAACCAAAGGAGCTCTGTGAGGTAAATGGAGGCGAGTCTCTATATGGCTTTGTAGATGAGTGTGACTACTCTTTTACTCTGTGTGAAGTGGGAGCCGCTATAAGCTTTTGAGCAGAGAACTGACATATCTAACATATATATATATATATATATATATATACACACACACACACACACACACATATATTGAGAGTTTCGCTCATGTTGCTCAGACTGGAGTGCAGTGGCACAATCTCAGCTCACTGCAACCTCTGCTTCCCAGGTTCAAGCAATTCTCCTGCCTCAGCCTCCCAAGTAGCTGGGACTACAGGCGCATGCTGCCATGCCTGACTACTTTTCTGAACTTTATTAGTAGAGATGAGGCTTCTCCATGTTGGTGAGGCTGGTCTCAAACTCCAGACCTCAGATGATCCACCCACCTGCGGCTCCCAAAGTGCTTGGATTATAAGTGTGAGCCACCTCGCAAGTCCTTTTTTTTTTGAGACAGAGTCTTACTATGTTTCCGAGGCTGCAGTACAGTGGCGCAGTCTCAGCTCACTGCAACCTCTGCTTCCCGGGTTCAAGCGATTCTCCTGCCTCAGCCTCCTGAGTAGCTGGGACTACAGGCACCTGTCACCATGCCTGGCTAATTTTTTGTATTTTTAGTAGAGACAGGGTTTCACTGTGTTAGCAAGTATGGTCTTGATTTCCTGACCTCAGGATCTGCCTGCCTCGGCCTTACAAAGTGCTGGCAGGCGTGAGCCACCACGCCTGGTCTGATTTATAGTTTTTAATGAGCTATCTGGATGCTTATGAAGAATAAATTGTAATGGTTGCAGGGTAGGAGCATAGAGACCATTTAGGAGGGTACTACAGTAATGCAGTTGAGATCGCAGTGGCTTGGGCCAGTGTGTTAGTGGTAGAAGCTGTGAAGAGTGGTTGGATTCTATATATATTTTGAAGTAAGAGTGATAGTTCTTTTCTGAGCTACTGAATGTGTAGGGTATAAAAGACAGACAAAATGGATGATTAAAAGAAACATGGAAACATAATTCACAGTTATCAAAGCATAATTGCCATAATAAAAAAGCCACAAGATAAGTTTAAGTCTCTTAAGAAAGAAGGTAAATAATAAAGAGAAACAGTTCAAGGACTGAGCTTGTGGTCAAAGAAGTAAAGAGTGTTTTGTATTTATGATGTGAAATCCTAACTTACAGTTTTGTAAGTTCTTTCTTCAGTAATTGTCCTTTTCTCCTATGATTTTCAGAATAAACAATGAATATTATCCCCATTTTACAGATGTGGAAAAATGCCCTTAGTAGTAATAGTATACAATAACATTGGAATCCTCAATCAAATCTATTAAAGTTAGAGCCATATGTTCAGTTTTTCCTGAATACACACACTCTCACCACATATTTTGGGACATTTGAGTCGCCTGATTGAATTCTAGGTGTTCACAGGCATCATGAAGCCTATTTATGGAATCGGCTTCAGAGCTCTGTTTGATGCTGCCTTCTCTTCCCTTAGCTCTGCCGCTTCCAATCACTCTAAGATGGACATGGAGAATGAAAATTCCATCTGATTCTTTTGAACTGATGTTTCCTTGTTGCTGTGGAGACACTGTACACATATTTATGTTGTGAACACTAAATGACCAGTGCATACTCCATACTCGGAGACCCTGCTGTTTACTTGTACTCCATGCTTAGACTCTGCTATTTACTTGACATCGCTAAGTGAAAGTCCAATTAATGTGTACTTCCAATTTCAACAGAATTTCATTATTTCTGCCAAAATATCTAATCTCACCACCTTGAAATTGGTGAATGGCATTTCTGCTCTTCTAGTTGAAATCATTTTTGTCTTTTTCTTTCACATCCTACATAACAATCCATCAGTAAGCTCTATGAGCACTTCCTTGAAATGGCAAACAGAATGCAACCATTTCTCATTCCCACTGCTACTGCTCTGATCAAGCCACTGCCATCTCCTACCTTTATTACTGCAGCACACTTATCACCTCGTTCTCCCAGAGGAATGCCAATAAAGGGCAATTCAAGTCCTGTGACTTCTCAGCTAAAAACCCTCCAATGACTCTCATGTCACTTACAGAAATACCCAAGGTCCTTTCAGTGGGTTACAGGCCTCACGGTCTGATCTTCGTTACATCTTTGACCTCAAATCCTGCTACTCTTCCTCTACTTCCAAGCCAACTCCACTAGTTCCTGCAACTTGCTAGAAGTACTCATCACTCTCAGGAATACGTACTGATGGTTCCCCTTGCGTGGTCCACTCAGCTTTTAGGTCTCTGTAGATGTTGTTTCCTCACTTCCTTCAGGTTTGTGTTCAAATATCATAGTCTTCCTGAGGCTGACCATAACAACACTGTTTAGCATTACAATCCTTCCTTGCTACCTCCCTGATAAATTTTTTCCTGCCCTTGAGGAGCTTCTAGTCTATTTGGGCAGTGAAAACCTGGCCCCATGGGAAGCAAAGCGGAAATTAAATACTAGATAGAATGTCAAAAAAGAAGCTGGGCATGGTGGCTCATGCCTGTAATCTCAGCAATTTAGGAGGTTAACGTGGGTGGATCACATGAGATCAGCAGTTCAAGACCAGCCTGAACAACATGGTGAAACCCTGTCTCTACTAAAAATACAAAGTTAGCTGGGTGTGATGGCACATGCCTGTTATCCATTACCTGGGAGGCTGAGGCAGGAGAATTGGCTGTACTCAGGAGGCAGAGGCTAAAGTGAATAGAGATCACACCATTCCACTCCAGTCTGGGCAGCAAGAGCAAGACTCCATCTCAAACCGAAAAAGAAAATAGAATGTCAGAAAAGAGTATAAATAATGTTAGTATTGAAAGTGATGTTTGATGCTTAGACAAGTGGCTTTGTGCCAGATTTGGAAGCCTGTTAGGCCAATGAAAGGAATGTGGACTTTATAATAAACAACAGGGAACCACACAAAATCCCTTTCCTCACCCCCCAACTGTTTCAATTATGTGAAACAATTCTCATATCTTTTACAAAACTAGTTCTTGCACTGAGCATATTAAACTCAAATTATGTGTTTATCTGAATAAGTACCTGGATGAATGGATATGAATAAATTAAACAAAAATTTAAATGAATTTACAATTGATAAAATGAAATACTTCAGTGTACATGTGAAGAATCCTTTACAAAACAAGTCTTTCAGGCTGGGCGTACAGTGGCTCATGCCTGTAATCCCAGCACTTTGGGAGGCCGAGGCGGGCGGATCACCTCAGGTAAGCAGTTTGAGGCCAGCCTGGCCAACATGGTGGAACCCCATTTCTACTAAAATTACAAAAATTAGCCAGGCATGGTGGCACACACCTGTAGTCCCAGCTACCTAGGAGGCTGAGGCAGGAAAATCACTTGAACCCAGGAGGTGCAGGTTGCAGTGAGCCAAGATTGCGCCACTGCACTCCAGCTTGGATGATTCTGTCTTAAAAAAAAAAAAAGGAAAAAAGGGGAAAAAAAGCCTTACATAGTAGCAGAGATTTTTGTTAAGTGCCAACTCTTTTTTTTGAGCGTCTACGAACATTTGGAGTATAAGGGGGATTTCCTTTTTCATAACCAAATTTATATAAGCAATATTTCACAATTTATATAAGTTCTTTTTATAGAAATTAAAGTGACTTTTCCACAAACATATTTGCACATTATTTTTTCTTTATTTGCTTTGAAGTTTGTAATTCTAGATACATTTAAAAATGTATCAATATACAAGTTATAAAGAATAATATGATGGCCATGCTGGAACACAATTGTCAATCAGATATATTTGTTATATCTGTTACGTTTGTTACATTACCAAGAACTGCTTTGACCTCATCTCTCATCTTCCTGCTACTGCCTCCAGAAGTAACCATGACCCTAAATTATGTCACTTTCTTGCTTTAATCCCCCTTGTTCCTCTGGTCCTTAGTCATTTTCCAGTTTTTAAATTAACTTTCCCATTTGATCCTCTTTGAAGTCATTAGGACATTATTTCACAAACATGAACATATGCTCAGAGTCACACAGATTATTAGGTGGTTCACAAATAATTCTTAGTCTACTTTTTTCTGTTTTTTCCTTTTATGATAGAATATTCTCGTTTTTCAATTTTCTTAGTAAGTGTATTTTAAAATTTATTCTATTCGTTTATTTGTATTGCATAGCATGCTAACTGGTACATAGCTGGTTCTCAATAATTACTTGTGGAATGAATTACTTTTTCTTGACATAGGGCAAGGAGACTTGGAGAGGAAAGGGCCTAAGGGGAGTTTCCTATTTCTTAACCACACCATTGAGAGTTTTGGAGACAAATAGAGAAACTTCTCTTCACAGGAGCTGTCTCTTGCACCAAAAAGAATGTAACAGCAGTGTTAATGTTTTGGCATGGACCCTTCCAGTCCCCCTTTTTACTTACAACTGTATTGTGTGTGTGTGTGTGTGTGTGTGTGTGTCTGTGTGTGTGTGTATGTGTGATGTAATATAAATAAGAATACACTATTTGGCAACTTAGATTTACCCCATATAATGCCATGAGCATATTTTATGTTGTTTATTTTTTAAACATTATTTTTAACAGCTGCATAATATTTCATTAGGGATAAAACCTAGTGTTAGGCAAAGTCCTACTCTTCAACATGAATATTCCAGTTTTTAGCTACAGTAAACAAAAATATTGACAATATTAACATAAAATTAGAAGATAGAATCAATAAGACTTTGTATGTTTTTAAACGTGCAGAAAAGGGAGTACTCTGGAATGAAGGCTAGATCTCAAACTTGGATGAATAAGTGAAGCTGAGTAGAGTATAATAAGGTCTGTCTTGGTTGCGCTGAGTTTGACATGCCTTTGAAATACTTATTTCATGTACTATTTAGAACCCTAATAACCATAATTTTTTTTTTCTTTTCTTTTTTTTTTTTTTTTTTTTTTTTTTTTTTTTTTTTTTTTTTTTGAGACGGAGTTTCGCTCTTGTTACCCAGGCTGGAGTGCAATGGCGCGATCTTGGCTCACCGCAACCTCCTCCTCCTGGGTTCAGGCAATTCTCCTGCCTCAGCCTCCCGAGTAGTCGGGACTACAGGCACGCGCCACCATGCCCAGCTAATTTTTTGTATTTTTAGTAGAGACGGGGCTTCACCATGTTGACCAGGATGGTCTCGATCTCTTGACCTCGTGATCCACCCACCTCGGCCTCCCAAAGTGCTGGGATTACAGGCGTGAGCCACCGCGCCCGGCCAACCATAATTTTTTATATGGGCTGATTTATCTGTCCCAGACCACAATTTGATTGTTGAAGTCCAATATCAACTGCCTGAACATGTGACTTTATTTGGATATAAGGTCTTTAAAGGTATAAAATGAAGTTTTAGGGGCGGGTCCTAATCTAATCTGACTGGTGTCCTTATGAGAGGATATTAAAACACAGACCACACACAGAGGAAAGAGAAGGGAGGGGAAAACTCAAGGAGAGTGGCCTCAGAAAAAATCAGTCCTGCTCACTAAGTTGATCTTGAACTTGTAGTCTTCATAAATGTGACAGAATTGATTTCTTTAAGATTTTTTTTTTTTTTTGGCAGCCCTAGCAAACACATTTCTCAAACATTTTCATTCTGGAATTACTTTTCTCCACCTCTTTTCCATGTTATGATGGCTTCTGTACTCCACAAAGACAAACACACGAAACACAGATGCACACCCATCCCTAGTGTATGTTGTAGGAGAGGAAAGAGCTTTTCCTATTAACCAATCTTCTGTTCATTGGCTGGGGCCCTGAAACAAAATACAGATTAACAAGAAAAAAGCATACACATTTAATATAAAGTTTTACATGACACAAGGAAATAAAGACCTAAAGAAGGGGTCAAACCTGATGTTTTTACACTAGGTTTGACGAAGAGTTGTCATGCAGAAATATAAGACAAAAATAATATGAGTAATAAACACGGAGAACTCTAGCAAGGTCTATTTGTTCAGATTCATCTCATACTCTGCAATACTCACATGAGGGTCTTACAACCTGTTTCAGAGGAAGGTCATAAGGACATTCCTGTCTATGTTGTTCTACTAATTCCTTAGAATAATCAGTATGTCAAGGTGCCATATTTCAGAGTACTGTGTTGTTTTCAGAAACCTGAGATTGCTTATGGAGTAGTGACTTTTTTTTTTTT